TTCGGGGGGGGGGGGGGGGTTCGAAAGAACCGCCCCTTTTGCTGGGAAAAGGTCCACTCTGGGTAAAATTTGAACAAGGTGCATGAAGTTTTTATGGGAAAAGGTCCACTTTTTCAGAAAAAGAACCCCCCTTTTGAAATTGCTGGCTACGGGCCTGTTGTGGTACATGTAATTAACACAGTCTAACAATACAAACAATTCTTATTACTGTAAGATGGCATTGAGGCATATCCGTAATACATGGAGAAAAATACACTTACAATGAGAATGGGGAATGACACCGTAGCATTCTACCATATCTAATCTTCAGATCTTTTACAATATTAGTCTACTTACATTGCCCTCTCCCTCCTCTCTTGTTTTGTCTGTTGTCTCAGCTGTCCTATGTATGTTTTTGACTCTTCCAGGGAACGTTGGGAGTTATCTAACATTTCTTGCAACATTTCTCTCTCCTAGAGAGAAAAGGATGTGTCAAAAAACTGATGTAATGTTTAAAGAAAAGATAAAATAGTTTTTTCCAAAAAAATTGTTTTCACAAAATTCTATGATAATTGAGGGCATGATTTTGATCTTACCATATTTTTTCAATTAAAACAATCTGTTCTGACTGATACAGCTAAGCTTATAAAAAATGAAAAATCTGAGTCATGAAAAAAAAAAAAAGCTTAGCCAAGCTAAGCTCAAGGAAATATGTTTAACTCAAGAGTCTTATGGTGAAACAAAATTAAAACACGTGCAGCAATTTCTGCATCAAACAAAATTAGTAGTCCTAGCTTCAAAAAAAAAAAAAAAAAAAAAAATGCAAATTCATTATGTGCAAAATTGTATTCCACTCACCTCCACAGTTGCAACTTTTTCAGGCTCAACATCTTTCAAACTCAAACATATCATTTTTCATGTGCACTGTCAATATGACTACATGCTAACAGTCAAACATACAGCAATATGCCACTTTCCTAAAGACAGTACAGTACAGTACAGATCTCATTTGATATGTTAATCAGTTTTACCTTTAGTAATTTCTCATTCTCTTGCTTGGTCTCGACTTCAGAAAAATTTAATTCTGCCAGCCTCTGTTCCATCTGAAGGAAGCAACAGTGCATGACGTCAGATGACTATCTCAGGGACAAATAACCTTATCTTATTACCATATTTAACACATTTACAGACACATTTGCCTGAGATAAGAAAAAAGACAGTTATTGTTATGAGAACAAAACTTGAAATTTGAAGTGCATACTGAACAATGTAAATTCATTATCACTGCCCCATTTTGAAGAGTTAATTTAATAGAACAAGGAACAGGGGGCAATTTGACAGACAAATACAGTCATTAGACTTCATCACATACTGTCTGCATAAACCACTTTAAAACGTTTTTCACCCAAGTTAGACAAAATGTGTAGTAGTCATGAACTAGGCTGTGTTTGAAAAATAGTTACATCACAAGTAACTACATGTACCTCAGCATGCCGTGTAAGGAGCTCTTGCAATTGTCTGTCCTTTTCCTTCATCTCTCTTTCCATTTCCTCACGAAGCTGCTTCTCTTTTGCTTTTTCCTGTAAAAAAAATAGTTGAAGAAAATATAGATCTAGAATCATTAGGGAATGGAATACAGAGATAAGAAATACAGTTGGCAGAAAACACATGTACAACTGCTCTGATTTTCACACAGTTCACCTTTTTAATATATTTTTTGTATTCATGCTGATTGCACTCTATTCTAGATCTAGATGGGTTACTCCAGCATTTTTTTCTGCTTTGTTTGTGTTAGGTAAAAAACTAAATTGTAAACCAAACCAACAACAATTAAGGCAAAAATTGTAGACAAAAATATATATACAATGTGTGAGTTTGTATATCGATAAGAGGTACTAAAACCAAGCAAACAATATTTACTCTTAATGTATTATAAAACAAGCCTAGAGCCAAATAAATAATTCATAATACCATTCCAACAATGGTCTTATTAACAAACCCAGAGTAATTGCACTCTGTTCATATACCATAAAGAACAATGTTATCTTAACAAAATACAACTGTTAACTATTAAATGGAAATCATATTTTTCAATCAATCATGAATGAGTCAAAATAAGAGTCAATTACTTAGTTAATGACACTCCAAATGTACTTTGATCATACTTATTGCACCATGAGGAATAATAAAGATTTACTGACAGAGATAAATCATAGACCAAAGCAATTGCAGTTCATACTGAAAAAGCTACCTGAATAATAGTAATTTAAGTTTAATGAGTAATGCTATCAAGAACGTGCAACATAAAAAAAAATGCACATAGCAGGACATGTAAATATATGTATCTCTCCATATCACCCAATATTGTCATAAAAATACTGACACTTAAATGACCACAAACCTTATAAAACAACTGAAGAAAATACCAGAATCTCCACAACCTACCCAGTTCATAAAAAAGGACCCACTGACCACTATCCTCTGCTCATCTCTTTATTTATGCTAGCACTTAAGCTATATCCTCCTCCCTCCCAAAATGGACTGTTTCCATTAAGCTAACTAAATGAAACCCAGAATATAACCAGTTCATCACTGTAACACAAGATGGCAGCAAGTCTCTAATGTATTCTTACTATTGCATTATTGTATCTGTTACATTCACCCTGAAGGAATGCTGGGCTTCACTTAGCTAAAGCAGACATGGTAGATCCCCCTTTGATAAAATATGGATATATATCTTGGATAAGATGCAGCTTTGACTCTTTTTAGCCACATCCAAGGTCAAACTAAGGAGTGTCTGACAACAATGGCATTGCTTAACAAGCTTTCTATGCCTCATAATCAGACTTGGTAATCTGATCAAAATAGATTTTCTTAGTCAAAATGAATGTCTTTAGTAAGGATTTTCCAAGTAAAGATTGTTTTGCAGGAATGTATGAACAGTTATCACTTCTTTTTATTCA